AGTTTTCTCGTTTGAATTGTTTTACATTTATCATTTTGGGGCCTTTTATAGCTGTTGAAGGCCGTAAGGTGACCTATAGTTGTTAACTTCTATTTCATTTGGTCTCTGGTGTTGTCTCATTGTCAATTATACCACATCTTCTTATTTTTATATATCAACTGTGTTCTTGAATTTTGTATTATAAATGTATCTGATATGCAAATGAGATGGTATGATGCAATGAGAACTAGAAACTGTTTTACTTCGAAATAAACTAATAGATATTAGCATTAAAATGGACACTTTAACCAAACTCTAGGTATTATTGTGTTTTAAATGAGATGGACAAATCATAGATTCGTTAATCTCCAACTTCTTGGGGTGAATGTTGGAGGAACAACTTGGGGTGAATGTTGGAGGAACTCAGTTGGAGAAATCTCGGTGTGTAAAAAGTAAACGAATTCGTTTCAGGAATTTCATATATCCTGTTGATATGTTTATATCAGTTGTGGGAGGAACATTATCAATACAACGTTTATTGATTGAAAACTTTGGAAAGAATATCAAAGTAAAGACAAAGTCAAAGTCAAAGGAACCAATCAAACATCGTTGTTCCAATATAAAAATAACAAGTTGTATCATTAGGTAAATGTAAAGAACCGAAATAATTCGAACAGTATAAAGTCTCCTTCTTAAATCTCCAGTCGCTATATATTTTTAATGAATTAAGAATAGCACAAGTGAGACTGGTGTGTCGACAGAGTAAGCGTCTCCTGCTTTGCATGTAGCACCCGCTATGCGAGTCCATACTGAGTCAAAATGAATATATCTATATAACATATGAAACCAAAATATATACAAAGGCGAATGTAGGACAGAAAGTCATAAAAAAATAGTCACAATTCAGTTTTGAGAAAGAAAAACAATTCTTTGATTTACCAAAGACCTATTTTTGTCTCGCCTGCGACGAAAGTCGCGGAAAGCGAGACAGGGATTGCTTTTCCGGAGACGGCTGCGGCGACGGCGTCAACAATTGTTAAGTTTTCTGCTTAAGTTAGATTGATAGGATCTACTTGTGATAGATCATTGATATTTAATATAAAGTTCCATTACTATCAGTACATATCAGTTTGACGACTCATGATTTCGAGGCCCTGCCCCCTAGATCATGGTCGAGCAACTTTGGATTAATTAGCAATTTTCAATGTTAAGTTTTCTGCTTAAGTTAGTTTGATAGGAAATAATTGTGATAGATCAATGATATTTAATGTAAAGTTGCATTACTATCAGTACACATCAGTTTGATGACTATTTCGATTCTCTGCCCATCTAGGTCATGATCCAGTGACTTTGAATTAATTAGCAATTTTCAATGTTAAATTTTCTGCTAAAGTTAGTTTGATAGGATCTACTTGTGATAGATCAATGATATTTTGTATGAAGTTGCATTACTATTAGTTCATATCAGTTTGACCACTATTTCGAGGCCCTCACCCTAGGGCATGCTCCAGTGACTGAATTAATTAGCAATTTTTCAATGTTAAGTTTTCTGCTTAAGTTAGTTTGATAGGATCTTCTTGTGATAGATCAATGATATTTTGTATGAAGTCGCATTACTATCTTTACATATCAGTTTGATGACTATTTCGAGGTCCTACCCCCTAGTTCATGGTCCAGTGACTTTGGATTAATTAGCAATTTTCAATGTTAAGTTTTCTGCTTAAGTTAGTTTTGATAGGATCTACTTGTGATAGATCAATGATATTTTGTATGAAGTTGCATTACTATCAGTTCATACCAGTTTGACGACAATTCCGAGACTCCTAAGAAAAGATAACTCTTACTGAAATTCTGAATTAACTTACGTCAATATAGCGTTTTAAAATACGCCTCATATTACAAGCGTTTTATTGACCTTGAATAGTTGTTTACCTGTTGATATGAAGCAGACGGTACATCAATGTTATAATGGAACAGCGTAAACGTGATCCGTGTGGTAAATTTTCGAGGTCTAAATCTGCCGATAAGAAATCAAATCGTTCAGATTACTTCAAATGGTTAAATGATGGCAGGAAATTGGAAGATTCTCCGCAAGTCGGCTTGCGTAATGATCATGGCAATTACGTATACAAGTTTCTTGATGTTGGGGCCGAGGCTGAATAATTGGAAGATGATAACAAGTCTGATGTGTCAAAATCTTGGACAATGGGGAGAAGAATTGTTGAGTTGAATGTCCTAGCAAAAGGAATGTATTGCTGCACTTGCAAGTGTCCGCTTCACCTGTCAAATATTGTAGGAGAACGATTGTTTGGGCTAGGTGGTCTACTGATTGTGGATTGTGAACTGTGTCATACTGTAACTGATGTCCAGTTTGGGAAGAGGGGGCCATCTGGAAGTTATGACATCAACACAAAAGCTTCCATAGGTAGGTATAGAAACTATATGATTATATCACATGCTTGTAAATTATAATAGCCTGTATGATGCTAATATTTACAGTTTTACTGTTTACATTTATAATTAACATGTTGCATTGTTTATTTTTCATAATTATATTTAAATGCATTCATGATTTTTGTTTAATAAATAGATTAATATTGAGTCCTTGGGGGCAATTACAACTAATGTGTCTATATATATATATAGCTAACTCAAACAGTGCATACTGCTTGCATACTTGGGCAAATTGGGGTGTTGGGAAAACTTTTTAGATTAAGGTATATAGGATTTTTTCTGAGACAAGTGCCTGTGCCTTATAGCAAATTAATTGCTGAAAACATTGTCATTGTTCAATGAACATCAACAACTTTCAACCCCTCCCTTCTGATCTTTTTCATAGTCAAAGTAGACTTTGAAAAGAGTTATAATAACTAATTATAAACTGTGAAATATTTTTTTTAGGGCTTGGCCATTAAATGTACAACTATATGTACATCATCATATCATGTACATGTAAATATTCTTAGATGATATTTTGTAAGCCAAGTCAGAGAAATTAGCACAGGACTGTCAGCCTGTGTCCTGTTAATATATCTTCAGTCTAGGAAATTTTAAAGAATTTTACAATTTTAAGAGAAACAAATTACCATCTTTTCTTTGTATATATCACAACTGCATGTTTCTTAGTCTTAGAAATGCAGGTGTGTACATTTTCCATTATTAAGACATCAATTTTCTTTCTCAATTTTAATAATACCTCATATTCTATTAAAGGCATGATACATGCAGGGATGGGCCCAACTCATCTGCAGAACTTTCTAGCAGAATATAACCTGCCATCCATTACAGAGAGCACATTAAGGAAAAAAGAGAAAGAATTAAGTGGACAGATTAAAAATGTAACAATCCAGTCGTGCAATATGGCACAAAGAGAGGAAAAGTCACTCAGCACAAATGGCAATGAAAGTATTAAATGTATGCACACAAAGTGGAATATCCAGACTGGATGCCCCTTTCTAGAAAAGTAAGTCTTTTTTACCTCCCCCCCCCACACCCCCCACCCCCCCAAAAAAAAATCCTTATATTGTATAACTTTTCATGGAGTACATCTAAAAAAAGTCCTAGATCCTAGATTTAATTCAAGGGACTTAGGTAATATATATGAGAGTATAATACAATTTGATCATGTAATGCTACATTGTATATATGTACAGGTATGTCATATGAAACTTCAAAGTAACATCAAACATGTTTTTGAAGTGAAGCTGATTTTTTATTATTTCATGGTTTCATGCATCAACAATCATTCAAAGAATTATTTAACAAATAACAGTGTCACAGAAGAGTTAATTTGTAATATTAAAATGTGTCCCCTTAGTAAATATTGTCCTAATTACAAAAAATACAATGATCATTTAGGTATAAGTGAGAGACAGACAGAATAAACAACAATACATGTACATGCATGTACAGATCAAGACTTTTCACCACCTAAAATTGCACAGGACAGCACAATTTTTGAAATTTTTCATTAGATTTAACAGTGAGGACCAGCAGAATTTCTTTCAGGACCACAAAAACAATAATTTCTAGTTGTGTATTTGGTGTGCAGTCACTGCAAATGTTTGTTTCTGCATACATATGCATCCAAAAGATTTGTTTGTGTTCTTAATAATGTATTTGTAGCTTACTACAAAAAATAAAGGTGAAGGTAAATGTTTAAGGTCAATCTATAAAAGACTTGCTGGGACTTTTTTTTATTAGAAATGCAATATTTTCTAGATTGAAGCAAGTTTTGACGGTGGCTGGCAAAAGAGAGGCTCCGGTTGGAATTATAATAGTAATACAGGTAAATAAACAGCATTCATGTTATATAATTTAATGTCTGACATTCATGATTTAATTACTGTATTTTGTTAAATTTTGCTGAATCAATTATTAATATAAATAACGTAATTGGACAAAGAATTAATTTCACTATTTAGTTTGATATAAGACATGTAAGAAGCTGTAGTTAAAGAAATATCTTCCCATACTTATTTTTATTCAATCCCTAGGCTAGATCTCTTTAACTTACCTGGTTCAATTATAGCAAATAGGTGAGCTTTTGCCATCATTTTGCATACATTATAGAAGTAAGATGTGTTACATGATTGTCAGTGACTCAACTGTCCACCAGAGCTCAAATGAATTGGAAGTAGGCAATTATAGCTAGACAACTATCAAACCTTCAACAATGAGAAAAACTTATATCCAACATGAAAAATACCAAACAATTCAAATGAAAAAACTAACGGCGTAATTAATAACAAAACAATTTATGAAGAAAATATGACAGATATAAACTAACAACAACCACTGAACTACAGGCTCTTTATTATCAATATCTGTCCGTCATATTAATCTGTAACATTACATCTGTGAACCTTTCATTAAAATATCCATTATCCTACACCCCTAAAAAAATTGAAACCAAACTTCAAAAAAATATTTACTAAACTGTTTATCATTGCATCATGTATGTAATACCTTTTACTTTAATTCTTGCAGGACATGCAACTTTTATTGGAAAGGAGACAGGAAAGGTGTTGTCGTTTGATTTAAGAAGTAAGACTTGTAAGACTTGTGAATTCCATCTTAATAGAAAAGAGACTGTTCCGGAGCATGAGTGTCAGTTGAATTGGCATGGCTCTAGTAAATCCATGGAGGCAGATATGGCGGTGTCTATGGCCCACAGATTAAAAGATGATGAATGTGAAATTAATGGTATGTTTCATATTCAAAATAAAGAATTTTGAAATACAATTTCATGTAATGAGTTCCCCAAAATGCATTGAAAATATCATATAAAGGGAAATAACTCTTATTTCAACAATACTTTCAAATTTGAAAGGTGAATATTTTGTGATTTTCACAGGAAACTTGGATTTTGTTCTTACACTTTTATGACAAAGAATCAATTAATTTTGTTGTTAATGATATAACATAACCAATGTCATGTAAAAATCCAGTTTATATTTATTTTAGTTGCTTTATTTACATTAGCTACATGTAATTAAATAAGGCAGAATATAACAGCTATCACTATTTTCCAAATAAAAAAATATGCGTGCAGTTGTATATCTTGACCGCTGTTGTGTTGCCTTTTTGTAGGTTTATAATTCTTCAATCTTCATTTCAGTCATACATGCTGATAATGATGCAGCAACATCAGCCAGACTTGAAGTTGAGTTTGAAAATATAAAGAAAAAGATGACCAGAACCATGTAAAGAAGGGTATATCAACAAGCTTATATAATATTTCAAAGAGGTATTTTTACAAATTAATTTTAGTGTTACGAGTATGTCTATGAAAAGGCTTAAGCCTATCCTTAACCAAATCAAATCATACTTATAGATCTTATTATATTGATCTGTCAAGACTACAAACTCTAAAAAAAACATTACAATGAAATTTCAATTTTGTGTTGTTAAAAGACATATAAAGATCTTTGTGTTATCTGAATTCATAAACATTACATTGAAAATTGAAAGAACTATTAGTATATATATGAGTAATCTTCATGGCTTATAGAACGACCAAATAGTTTTTAGTGAGGCTTTATGAAGTTTGGAATAGAAAGGCCGGACTTAAAAAAATAGAAACTAGGACCCTTTTTTTCTGAAAATTAAAAGGCAGATGCATGAATCCATCATTGAAGATTTCATCCATGCCCCATAAAAGTCTGAAGGGTGCTTGCTTCCTCAATAGTAAAGACAGATAAGCAATAAAAAAAGAAGACTTTTTAATTTTTTTTTTTACATTAATTATTTGTTTCTTATTTTGTAGTTACAAAGAATTGCAAAAGGATGCTGACTGGTGTAGCTATCATCAAGATCCAGAAAAATTTACGTAAGATCTTCTATACTGGTATTGACAACATATTATTAGCTCACTGGCCCCATGTGAGCTTATGCCATCACTTGACGTTCGTTTGTCGTCGTCGTCCTAAACTATTTCAAAAATCTTCTCCTCTGAAACTACTGGGCCAAATACCTTCAAACTTTAAATAAATGTTTCTTAGGGTATGTAGTTTATAAATTGTATCCGAAGTTTTGATCCATCGACAAACATGGCCTCCATGGCTAAAAATAGAACATAGGGGTCAAATGTAGTTTTTGGCTTATATCTCAAAAACTAAAGCTTTTAGAGCAAATCTGACATGGGATAACATTGTTCAATTGGTCAAAATCTATCAGCCCTGAAATTTTCAGACGAATCGAACAACCCATTGTTGGGTTGCTGCCACTAAATTGGTAGTTTTAAGGAAATTTTGCAGTTTTTTGTTATCTTGAATATTGTTATAGATAGATAGAAACTGTAAACAGCAATAATGTTCAGCAAATTAAGATTTACAAAAAAGTATATATGACCAAAATTTTCAATTGACCCCTTAAGGAGTTATTGCCCTTTAAAGACAATTTTACACAATTTGTTCATCAAGTTTGCTAACATTTAAAAATCTTCTCCTCTGAAACTACAGGGCCAAATACCTTAAAACTTTAACTAAATATTCCTTAGGGTATCTAGTTTATAAATTGTATCCGAAGTTTTGATCCATTGACAAACATGGCCGCCATGGCTAAAAATAGAACATAGGGGTCAAATGTAGTTTATGGCTTATATCTCAAAAACTAAAGCTTTTAGAGCAAATCTGCCAATAAGTTAAATTGTTCAATTGGTCAAGATCTATCAGCCCTGAAATTTTCAGACGAATCGAACAGCCCATTGATTGTTGGGTTGCTGCCACTAAATTGGTATTTTTACGGAAATTTTACAGTTTTTTGTTATTATCTTGAATATTATTATAGATAGATATAAACTGTAAACAGCAAAAATTGAATTATAGGGGTTCTTTGATATGACCAATCCAACTGTGTATTTAGGTTCTTAATTTTTGGTCCCATTTTCAAATTGATCTACATTAAGGTCCAAAGGGTCCAAAATTATACTTTGTTTGTTTTTAACAAAAATTGAATTCATAGGGTTCTTTGATATGCTGAATCTAAACATATATTTAGATTTTTGATTATGGGCCCAGTTTTCAAGTCGGTCCAAATTGGGGTCCAAAATTAAACTTTGTTTGATTTCAACAAAAATTGAATATATGGGGTTCTTTGATATGCTGAATCTAACCATGTATTAAGTTTTTGGATTTTGAACCCCATTTAAATTGGCCCACATTGAGGCCCAAAGGGTCCAAATTAAACTTTGTTTGATTTCATCAAAAATTGACTTATTAGGGTTCTTTGATATGCGGAATATAACCTTGTATTTAGATTTTTAATTTTTGGTCCCATTTTCTAATTGGTCTACATTAAGGTCAAAGGGTCCAAAATTAAACTTTGTTTGATTTCAACAAAAATTGAATATATGGGGTTCTTTGATATGCTGAATCTTACCATGTATTTAGATTTTTGATTTTTGGTCCCGTTAGCAAATTGGTCCACATTGAGGTCAAAAGGGTCCAATATTAAATTTTATTTGATTTCTTCAAAAAATGAATTCTTGGGGTTCTTTGATATGCTAAATCCATCCATGTATTTAGATTTTGGATATTTGACCTTAATAGGTAAATGTCCAATTTAAAAATTTTAAGTTCTTAGACTACATTCATTTTGTGTCAGAAACCTATGCTGTGTCAAATATTAATAACAATCCAAATTCAGAGCTGTATCAAGCTTGAATGTTGTGTCCATACTTGCCCCAACTGTTCAGGGTTCGACCTCTGCGGTAGTATCAAGCTGCACCCTCTTTTTGATCTAAGAACTCCCCTTTTTTCTTAACAACTCCTGCCCCTGTTTTAAAATTTCTTGATCCGCCCATGTACAGAAATATTGAACATATACTTATACTAAATATTAACACTAAAGTTTCAGGCTAAGTATTTTGTGCAAATAAAAATTTGAAATGTAGATTTTATTTTCATTTTATTCAACTCCATTTTAGGTATAAAAGTTTACCAAATGGGAAACGGCTCAAGTCTGAAGGATTAAAGGTTGAATTGAATAATTTAGTGCAAAAAATGATTGGTAGGAGTAATTCTTTAAATGATCTTAGATCAACACAGTCAAATAAAAGCTTTAACCAGCTTGTATCTGTAAAGGCACCTAAATCAAGGTAATTTGTATATGGTATTTGCATGTCAGTTCACATTCTTAAGCAACAATGAATATAAGTATAAAAAATATGTTGTATGATTACCAATAAGACAACTCTACACAAGAGACCAAATGACACAGAAATTAACAGCTATGGGTCACAGAAAGGCCTTTAACAATGAGCAATTCTCATATGACATAGTGAGCTATAAAAGGCCCCAATTCACAAATTTATGTATAGATATGAAAAGATGTGGTATGAGTGCTAATGAGACACCTCTTCCATCCAAGTCACAATTTGTAAAAAGAAACCAATTATACATATGTCAAAGTACAACATTCAACTCAATTCAAACAAGAAAACTAACGGCCAAATTAATGTACAAAATCAATAAATGAAAAACAAATATGTAACATTGCAATTACTGACAGCTAGTTCAAAGCCAATAACAAAAAAACCCATGCATCTAAGACTTAATTATCTTGTCAGGGCTTTAAATTTTTCATACCCTGACTACTAAAAGTGATGTACATCCTTCTGTCCAACCCAAGTAAACAGGCAGGTTGAAGTTTATTAGTTTTCAATGAAGGGAGCCAATACTATCATAGTGAAACTTTATATAAAAATATTAATCTTTTGCAAAGGGTCTTCATATTTGGTGAGTTGGTATGTAACTGTTACCTGCACCTTTGACATCAAGTTCAAAAAAGGGAAGAGAGGAATATATTTTAATGTACTTAAAAAGTTCTTCATACTCTTTTTTAGACATTATGGTGGATCATGCTCACTTCAGAATAGGCTATCTGCAGCTGTGCTTCAGAAACATGAAGGATATGGCTACTTATCCAAGGTAACTATGAAAATTTTTACATCTTCTTTTTGAACGAAGGGTGACATAGTGTTTGAATATGATTGCTTCTTTTTCTTTCCTCTACTATTTCTTTCTTCTTCTTCATCTTCTCAAAAAAGCCTGTTCAGACCATAACTTTATTAATCTTTTGATATAGCATATAATGAATTTTTAGTATGTGGGTATATCACTTGTGTCAAGTTCCAGGATTGGTAACTAAGACCTTGACCTAAAGTTCATTAAAATTAAATTTCTAGTACTATCGTTATGTCCACTCCATGTCTTTTTGTCCGTCTTACCTTACTCTCATCCTCTTTCCTTTCCTCACTCTAACTGAAGTTTGCCTCATCATGGAAAGTGAGTCACTTATTGTTCTAAAGTCATGCCCCTTCATAATTTGGAAAATTGCAAATTGTTTTGTTTCCTTACTCTAACATAAGTTTGTCTGATACAACTTTTATAAAACTGATACATATAAGAATCACAACACTCAGACAGAGTTCAAATTTGTGTTGTGACTCATTTGTCAACCTATAGTTCTGTCCCTTTTTAACTTTTAAAATTGCAAGGCTACAGCGGAGGCATTCATGACATCTTACACATTCTCCTTTAATAATTTTTTTATCTTTTTGAAACCATGTTACATGTTGCATCCAATGTTTATATACAAGGAGATTACTGTATTGCTTTTTTAGCCCTGCAGATATACATTGTACAATTTACAGTCACGAATCATGTTTATCTAGTATGTAACTCAATTATCTTCTTTCTTCTCAAATTATTATCAGATGTGGTATGTGTGCTAATGCAACAACTATCCATCCAAGTCACGATATATAAAGAGTTACCATTATAGGTCAAAATATGTGTTCACGATGGAGATTACTGTTTTTTCTTGATTTTTAATATTTTAATGCATATATGTATTACATTTTAATTATGTTGCATTTTTTTAGATCAATGAAGCAGCAAACCTCTCTCCAGGAGAATTTACAATGGTTTCCTCTGTAAGAGATAAAAAAATGGAAAAAAGAAAAGAAAAGAAGAATTCAAAGGAATATAAAGTTGGCCGTATACAAAAGAAAAGAAACCACAATAAGAACGAGCGTAAACATCTGGTAAGAGAAGGAAAAACTTATGGATCTCAAATGGAATTTGATCTTCAACAGGACCCTGAGCAAACCACAGAAATTCCACTTCCTTTTAATCTAGATGGCACTGAATGCAAAGTGTTTTTTGATTTAAAAACAACAGGCTTGGGTAGGAATAGCGACATCATTCAGATAGCAGCTAAGTCAAATTCAAATAGTTTTAACAGATATGTCATCCCGAGAGTGGACATTCAGATCGAGGCCAGTAAGATCACTGGTATAACATTCAGCCATGGAACAAATAAAATGTATGTTCGAGGAGATATAGTTGAACCTGTGACACTACATAAAGCCCTACTTGATTTTATACATTTTTTAAAGGAACAGAACCAGTCAATTATACTAGGTCATAACATTTGTAACTTTGACATTTCTGTAATTGTTAACAAATTGAAAGAATGTAATTTGTTTTCGACATTTTGTGAAACCGTGAAAGGTTTTATTGACACAATGAAAGTGGCTAGAAAATATATTCCAAAAAATGATGTAGAAAATTTTAAGCAGCAGACTCTTGTCCAACAGTTTGTAGGAGAAAATTACTCTGCCCACAATGCAATAGAGGATGTAGATTCATTAAAAACATTATACGACAGTAATTTTACCTCACTAGTGAAATCTGATGATGTATTTTCCATTTTATACCACAATTGCATGGACTCCTTCTCTGACTTACTAAGTAATAAAATTGTTTCAAGGCCAGTTTGCATGCAACTAGCAAAAGATGGTATATTGTTGAAACACCTCAAACTGGCATCTGTACGAGATGTAAATGGACTGAAATTTGTCTTACAGGACCATAAGATACCACCAAAGAGTATGAAATGCATTCAGGACTACTTTCAGACTGAGGAATGAATTTTGTATGGCCAAAAAATAAATATATGTCTGTGTTTTTCTATAACCTGACTGTGTCTACCCTGATACTTGTTATATTATTCTCCCAACACAATGAAGTTGCCAAGGATATGATGTTTCAGTCTGTCCATGTGTCTATCCTATTCTTGTTAGTTCAACTCCTTAAAAACCGCACAACAGAATTTAATGAAACTTGGAAGGTGGTAAGAATGCAATAAGTGTGTATTTTACAAAGTTCTATGAAATTTTGATTCCCTGCATTATAATTTCATATTTTGAGTTATAGTCCCAGATCAATTGACACTGAAAAATAAATAATTTGCCATTTTTATCTGCAAAAAAATGACCGCCAAAGTCAAACATACTAGTGGTTGGATATTGTACCCTATGAAATAAGTATTTCAAAAATCATTTATCTGAAGCTACTAAAATAAAATGAACCAAACTTTAAAGTCTCATGAAGGTCAAATTTACAAGGAACACACCAATTCATGATAATACATTCATATTTGCCAAAGATGTAAGACCTAGGTCAAAAGTCATGGCCTGGTCATTTTCATGCTAAAAAACTACATAAAGTTGACCTTATGGTCAAATTTCAAGATCACATGAAGGTCATCATGGTGCAAGACACATACCTGATGATGATACATCTTCATACCAAAGATCTAAGACCAAGGTAAAAAGACAACAAGGCATGGTAAAGTGTTTATAGTAAAAAATAAAATTGACCTTGAAGTCAATTTAAGGTCACATGAAGATAATCACAACACAGGACACTCCATCTCATTATGATACATCCTCATACAAAAGATGCAAGACCTAGGTAAAAAAAAACAACAAAAAAATGCATATGGCCTTGTTTTTTATCAAAAATACATTTATTTGACCTTGAGGTCAAATTTCAAGGTCACATGAAAGTCATCATGATATGTGACACTCTACCTCATGATGATACTTCAACATGCAAAATATCTAAGCCCTAGGTCAAAAGACAAGAAAACTATGCCCCAAATATATTATCAGAATGGAACTTGCTCTTATTTATTGAGGGTGGTGGTATTATAAAAAACTATAATTGAAAAAAATCTGGTGGATAAAAATTTATAAATTTTTGCAAAATTAACAATAACTGATATAGCACTACAAATCGTTAGTTTTAAAAAAAAATTAAACGACACATTCTTTTTTTTTTTTAATTTTTTCTTCAAATACTTGACCCATCATATTCACTTTTGGAGGCTGAATCTGAGACCCCCCTTTTCTAATTCGGACAAAAATTTAAATCCAGAATAAAAAAAATACAAGTAAAGGGAATAGGTGAACTAAAATTCGCCTCAGTTTTCACTATTAACTACGCTATTGTCAATTTAGGATCAATTTTAATTTTTTTTAACATATATACCCCTATACCCATATTTCTAAAACTTCCAAATTTGGCTGATATTAGCATGTAAAAGATGCCATATTCGAGTTGTCAATTCTTTTAAACGTATGGTTCAAGTCCTTCGAAATTTTTATAAGATGTTTAGCTTGGCCTAGTTTATCAATGGGATAAAAACAAGAAAAATTAAACGACAGGTTTTTTTTGGTGTAAAGTGTTGGGTACCCCCTTAATAAATCATGTTGCTGTCCATCAGATTGTCTTTTTCTGAATTTTATACCGACAGGCGAGACATATCTCTGTGTCAACAGTTCATTCTAAATATTTTTTGTAACTGATACATTATTAATAACTTTATTGTCCAAAATTAAGCTATGGTAAAATAATTTGTAGCTTTCAGGGTAGCTTGTTCGCGGACTGTCTTCATAGTGTCTAGAAACATATCCTTTTATGATAGAACTGCATTTAACAATGCAACAACTGTCTTAAATGAATTTATCTAGTAATAAGAAATCATTTCATCATTTTGTTTTTATATGTTCAAATGATTCTTAACTTATCATTTGTGACTTTTTGTCCTACATGTGACTTTCTGTTCTTTTATCTAATTGACTCGCTATTTGCACTTTCAACAGTGGAATACAATCATAGTTTAAGAGGGAAGTAGATATTACTAGTGTATTAGCCTATGATGATGAATTTCCTATAACAATGCACCGGTCACGAGTAATGAATCACTTAAGGGAAACAATTTAACGTCAAATTTGTACTGGCAGAGGATCATAATTATAGACGTTGTTTAATGGAAGACTATTTGTAAGTAAAAATAGTTTATCAGTAGTTAATTTGTTTATTTATTAATTTATCATTTTTTTTCTACTTCGTATTAAAAAAAACAATCAATGCAAATTGATGCTTCCATTTATTTTTTTAGATTTTTGTATGCATGGAATTTTATAGTTCATATATTATGTAGCTGAAATGGAATCAAGTGTTTATCTTCAAAGAACCTTATTGAAAACAAAGAACCTAATTGAAAATGACAGCTTTTGAATAATTTATTATTTCAATATTAAAAAAAAAGAGGGATGCATTAATATTGTTTACATTTTGCAGGGGAAAGGCATAAAATCTATAAAAGTATGACGTTAGTGAAGTTTTTCATCAGTCTTTTATATATATCGTTCGGAAGGATGGAAATGTTTTGTCCTGCTGACTGTAAATGTGGAAACAGATCTGCTACTTGTGACGGAAGTAATACAAATGTCAAATTAAGCTACATTCCAAAATTTCCAAGTTATATTACTGAAGTAATATTTATCAACAACAATATATCGAACTTGTCTAGATCGACGTTGAAGAATCTATCACCACTGACAATTACTCATTTAGATTTGAAAAATAACAATATCAAATTCATGCATAAGGATACATTTGCATATATGAAAAACTTAGTCAAACTTGATATTTCCGGTAACGATAAAGTTCGAATAGAAGATGTTCAAAAATGTCTGCACAATTTGCCAAGTACTTTACAAAAATTGTTATTGAATCATATGCTGTGGAAGCCACTCAAAAATATGAATAACATGTTTGCCGGTTTGAAAAAAGGCAAACTAAGAAGAATTGAATTGAGTCATAGCTATTTAAAGCCTTTCAGTGGACAATGGTTTGCTGGACTGGACTCGTTAACAGATTTAGATATATCATGGAACTCTATCGGAGATAAGGATCTTAATTTCAAAGGCCTGAATAATTTGAGATGGTTTAGCCTTATAGGAAACTATTTAAATTATGTCCCAGATTTTTGTAGAGGTGATTTATTTAAACTAGAAACACTTTTACTTTCAAATACTAGATTAGCTCATCTAAAAGACCTTCAAAATAATACTCGTTGTCTTAGACAATTGACAACTCTTCGTTTAAACGGAATTGCTGTACCAGTTATTCCAAACAATACATTCTCTGAATTGAAATCTCTTAAAGTTTTGGAAATGACAAAGATCTCAACGCAACTCAAAAAGATTCTACCATTAGCGTTCAACAGTTCATCATTATCAAGTTTGTCATTTTCAAAAAGTGATAGATTTATTTTTGGTAAAACATTTGTGCAAAAGGGGTATTTTGATCCAAAAACTTTATTTAGATTCTGCCCGAGTTTAACTAAGTTGGACTTGTCTCATAATTTGATAGAATTTACAAACCAAGAAATCAGAGACATGTTCTCACCCTTAATCAACTTAAGAGAAATCAAACTTCAATTTCTAGACTTAGTATTGATGCCTAGACATTTTTTTCATCAATTTCCGCTTATACAGATGATCTACCTAGATCACAATATACTTGTTCCATGGACCAATGGTAAGGACATATTTCAGGGTTTAACAAACCTTAAGGAACTTCATTTATCGTCTAATAGAATTTGCCACTTTAGCTCTTCATCTGTTCCTGAAAATATTTTGAAAACTTTAAAGTCAATAGATCTGACTGGGAACCAGTTTTCTTGCACGTGCAAACTTATATGGTTCAAACATTGGATGCAGAATACAAAAATTAAACTCGTAAATGAAACTTATTATAAATGTGATGACCATACAAAGCTTCAGGATTACAACCCAACGTACATTGCATGTTCAAATGTCATTTTTCTCATTACTGTCTCAGTTGGAAGCAGTGTTTGCCTTCTCCTCGCAGCTACTATTCTTGTTTACAGTTGCAGATGGCGTATTCGATTCCACATTTATAAAATACTTTCCACATCCCATTACTACCAGCAAATTAATGGCGACGATTACAAATATAGTGCATACGTTATATACTGTTACGAAGACTTTAAGTGGATAAAACATGAACTTATACCTAAAATGGAAGAGAAGCACGGATTACATCTATGTATACCGCACAGAGATTTCGAACTTGGAAAAGTGTTTGCAGACAATATTGTTGAACATATGAATTTAAGTAAAACAGTGATTACGGTTCTGTCAAATAATTTTGCGAAAAATGAATGGTGCTTATTTCAGCTTGCTGTGGCTCGCAGTAAATTGTCAAAAGATGGGACGTTTTCTATTTTTCCTGTTATGCTTGAAGAAATCGATTTTAAAAACATGAATTCATCCTTATATTCATTAATCAAATTATCTAGCTATGCAGCCTGGAACTTTAATGAAAGAGGAGTAGAACTGTTCTGGAAACAAGTTAGAAACCATGTACAGTAGATACAAAAATGACAGTGAAATTATTAAGTCATCTTGTAACAAATATGACTTAAACTCCTTGTTTGTTACTTACTTTTTTAATATGGCTTTTCAGTTAAACATGTAATAACACATCCAAACTCCTTGCACATTGATGTATAATAATGCATAGCTATAATTAAGCTAGGATTGTAATATATATGATGTTTCATGATATATTTTATAAGTATGTAATGTGTCATGCCATGTTATAAAAGATCATCACATTGAGTTGTATTATCACTGTTATTGTTTTATGAATATTAGATATTACTTGCACCATTTTCTACGAATATTTAAAGCACGAGGCGTAGCGGATTTTAATTTTCGTAGAACATGATCAAAATGTGTCTGACCACATTTTAACATTCGAGTGACATAAAGGTTCAAGTCTGTCTAATTATTTTATGGTTATTTGCTCAACTTGTTATTGTTAATGTTAATTCACATTAATTTGGTTATGAAAGACATATTTTTTAATTTTTTTTTTTGGTAATATTAATTTCAACAGACAAAATGAAATAGCATCGAGGTTTTATGTATTTGCTGCAAGCAAGGTTAAATGTAAATGTTTGTTAAGTTACTTGATTTCGTTGAACTACATGAGTAAAACATGCAGTTATGACTGTCCTTTCAGAGGTTCATTACATATTATTATTTAAATCCGGAAGGACGATGGGAATTGCTACGATATACCATTAACATAACACACGTTAGTACGATTGTACGATTACAGTAAACATAACACACGTTAGTACGATTGTACGATTACAGTAAACATAACACACGTTAGTACGATTGTACGATTACAGTAAACATAACACACGTTAGTACGATTACAATTTACATAACTAATCAAAACAACGTATTTGATTTTAACTAAAGAAATCTCTATACACTAAATCCATTGGATGTTGGATGTGTACTTATTGATATTTTAGTCTTAGATACATGATTTTGTTATTAGTTATTATTGGCTTTGAACTAGCTGTCAATAACTGCGAGTACTGTCATATCTGAACTTAGTGTGCTTTATGTTGATAGGGATGAGGGATTGATAAATACCCTGCCACGTCCGGTCTGTGTTTATGTTTGATGTTTTTCTGCTTTGTATCGATATGATGAGTTAAGCCTTTTTCAACTGATTTTTATAGTTTGTTCTTATGTTGTGCTGTTACACCACTGTCCCAGGTTAGGGGGAGGGTTGAGCGCTCACAAACATGTTTAACCCCTCCACATTCTGAATGTGTCTGTCCCAAGTCAGGAGCCTGTAGTTCAGTGGTTGTCGTTGGTTCATGTCTGTCATATTCGTTTTTCGTTAATTGTTTTGTTATAAATTATGCCGTAAGTTTTCTCAATTGAATTGTTTCATATTTATCATGTCGGGGCCTTTTATAGTTGAAGATACGGTATGGGTTTTTCTCATTGTTGAAGGCCGTACGTTGCCTATAATTGCTTACATCCACATTTTTTTTAAACTTTTGTGGATAGTTGTCTCATTGGCAATCATACCTCATCTCCTTATTTTTTATATATTTTACGAGTTTTACCTTTTGCAGATTTTTACGCAATTTAATTATAATAATCTTCAGAAGACAAGTTGGATATCCGAACTATCAAACCTCTTTCTGTGTCTGTAAGGGATGAATAACCAAGAACGACTTATAATTAATGTACGGGGGAAAATAAACAGAAATAAAAAAATCGGATTAAAAAACACTGGATTTATATACCATTGAATACATGTATATACCACATTGCCTCACATTCTCATTAAGAAAAAATTCACACACCTAATTAAATGGGCATTTAAAAAGTCAGAATGTGAATATATATGTTCAAACTCTTTTAGGTCATTTTTTACTAGCAATAAACAAAAAAAACTATGTCAATTGGACATGCTTTGATACTATATATGCCCTTGAATTTTTACTAGATAACATTTTTGTTCGCTTTGGAGATTCCGTATATCGTCAGGTTATCGGACGGAATTCCAATGGGGACTAACTGTGCACCACTTATTGCGGACCTTTTTTTGTATTGCTATGAGTTACAATTTATGACAAAAATCAGCAAAGGCCCATCGAAACAACATCTGTTACACAAATTTAATAATACTTTTAGATATTTGGATGATATTTGGCTCTCAATAATGACGACTTCAGTATGTATACTAAAGAAATTTATCCTGTTGAACTTACTTTAAATAAAGCTAACACTAACAATGACCACTGCCCTTTCCTCGATCTTGATATCTTTATCATTAATGGAAAGCTTAATACTAAAATATATGATAAAAGAGATGATTTTTCATTTCCTATCGTTAATTATCCATTTTTAGATGGTGACGTTCCCTTGTCACCATCTTACGGTGTTTATATATCTCAACTTGTACGATTCGCTCGTGTATGTAACAATGTTTTAGATTTTAACGAGAGAAATTTATGTATTACTGAAAAATTATTACACCAGGGTTTTCGATATCACAAACTAGTCAAAACATTTACTAAATTTTATCATCGGTATAAGGACATCATTCGTAAATATAGCTCAACATGCAGACTTCTTATACGTTCAGGTATTTCACATCCAATTTTTTATGGAAATATTCTATATAAAGCACAAAAATGTCAGTATTCACCTCTGAAGCTAACAAAACCTTTAAATAGACTTATTAAGAAGGGATATAGTTACGATACTGTTGTCAGGTCATTAAAGATTGCATATTTTGGCGTTAATATTGATTCACTTATAGGGTCTTTGCATCGGCACTAAACACATTTATTTTAAAACCAGTTGTTGGCATGACACGGGTTATGTTCTTCTCATATATGTTATGATGGTATGATACTAAACCCCTAACGGGAAGGATTGTGCCTGATATTCATATGATGAAGACATAATCTTTCAATCAGTTTAATTGAAGTCTGGAGCTGGCATGTCAGTTAGCTGCTAGTAGTCTGTTGTTATTTATGTATTATTGTCATTTTGTTTATTTTCTTTGGTTACATCTTCTGACATCAGACTCGGACTTCTCTTGAACTGAATTTTAATGTGCGTATTGTTATGCGTTTACTTTTCTACATTGGCTAGTGGTATAGGGGGAGGGTTGAGATCTCATAAACATGTTTAACCCCGCCGCATTTTTGCGCCTGTCCCAAGTCAGGAGCCTCTAGCCTTTGTTAGTCTTGTATTATTTTTAATTTTAGTTTCTTGTGTACAATTTGGAGTTTAGTATGGCGTTCATTATCACTGAACTAGTATATATATTTGTTTAGGGGCCAGCTGAAGGACGCCTCCGGGTGCGGGAATTTCTCGCTGCATTGAAGACCTGTTGGTGACCTTCTGCTGTTGTCTGTTTTATGGTCGGGTTGTTGTCTCTTTGACACATTCCCCATTACCATTCACAATTTTAGTAAAGTTTACATCGCTGAACACAAACGAAATGGTTTGCGCATTTATGTAGCCGAGCATCATAATTATGGTCTCCACGATAAGTAGTAACCCTATGATGATACTGATACCAGGCGAATTACGATACCTCTTCATATAAACCAGTAATGTTACGTAGCTTTCTAGGAGAAATGGAAACTGAGGTCCCTTTAGGTTTTTTTTCAGTATAAGAATGTGGATAATAAACGTCTTTAAATTGAGAGTAAATAGAAAATCATTTTGCTATTTAAGGAATGACTGTAATATTTGTTCTCTCTATGAAGAAATAACATAAAAAATGTGGTGCACACTGAATAAACCGCGTTTTTGAGGTTATTTAGAATAGACGGAAAAAATATTAGTCATTACTTATAATTTTGAACAGATATATCATGTTAAGGAGGGGTATTTGCGAAAAATACCAGTCGAGAGAATGTTAAATTTCGCGAGCCGTAAGGCGAGGGAAATTCATTCTCAAGACTGGTATTTTTCGCAAATACCCCTCAAGAACATGCTATATCTGTTTAATTACACCGAATGTTAACGTTCAAAAACGCATTGATGATCGTGACGTTACAAGCGTCCAGTCGGATAGAGTATTTTTGGCAAATACCACGACAGAGAGGGTAAAAAAGGCATATCCTTTTTGCATATACCCCGGCGGCGTTAAAAAATGAACGATATTCATTTGATAACAGTAAATTGGTGAAAAATACACTGGCTATCAACCAATCAAAACCCCGGATTCTTACATAGGGTGTAATTAAATTCTAAATTCTATTTTTAAGGAGTAAATCATGTAAAAACGTTGATGACGTCACGGTCACATGACAAAATTATGTCTATGAGCTGATAGACAACAAACTTTCAGCCAATCAGAAGACGTGTTACATCCAAAATTAGATTATTTTAAAAGTGATAAAAAGTAGCCTATATACAATTTAACGAAGTATGCTAAGAACTCAAAACTGTTACAAAATTGTAGTTCTGTATGTACCAGTTCATTGGAAATGTATTCTGGATACATATTAGAACGCACAGCCACCGATATTACTGTCTAAAAATACAATGTTATAATAACTTCCATTAATAAATTTGAGCTTGCTTTCTGTCAGTGCGGACATTCTTTAATGCAGTATTTATTCGTATTGTTTCACTCGAATGTTATACTTATATTTTCAAAAATAAGTGACCCGTGCTATTTGTTTGATTAGGTGTACCTTTTACTGTTAGGCTGTTGGGCTAATTTTCTCGATTATTCAAAAACAAGAAGATGTGCCAATGAGACAAATATCCACCAGAAACCAAATGACGTAGAAGGTGTGCAACTATAAATCACTGTACGGCCTCCAACAATGAGCAAAACCCGTACCGCATACACATTTTTCGGGATTTTTTTTCGTTGAATTCTTAAATTCGTGGTTTGCCACGAAACCCACAAAAATTGGTATACCACGAAGAAGAATGAATCCATAGTAGCGAGCTATAAAAGGCCTCGAAGTGACAAATGTAAAACTATTCAAACGAGAAACTTACGGCCTGATTTATGTACAAAACGATAAACGAAAAAACAGATATGATATACAACAAACATACGACAACCACTGAATTACTGGCTCCTGACTTGGAACAGGCACGTACAGAATATTGCGGAGTTAAACATGTTTGTGGGCGCACCAACCCCCTCCCTTCAAACTGGGACAGTAGTAGAGCAGAACAACATAAGAACATGCTATAAAAATCAGTCGATCAGCTCGACATAACGCACAAAAGCAACTAATAAAAAAGCGAACGACACA